AGATTTCCTAGGAGCTAGAGCAATTCCTTCCTTCTTTTCCCTCCTGCTCCTCACCCTGCTATGACTCAGAAGGGAAGAGTGTATCATAGGCTTTCGGAAAAATCTACCTTGGGCTTCAGAGTCCTGAGATAAAACAGGATACTGTCTCCAGGAAGCAGTTCCAGAAAGAAGATTCTTCCATATTCCCTGCCCTAAATTGTCTTTTTTCTCCTTTAAAATGGAGTAGCATTTTTGTCTGAAGAACCAAGTTTCTATATTAACTAAAACATGAATTTAGAATTTACCCAGAATATCACATTCACCTGTTCATCCATCAAATATATATGTTGGACAATATTTATATGCAAGTTTCTATGCTAAAAACATAATTTCTTTTTTCAAGTTACAACCTAGAGAGGGGGAAGATGCATTAAGTACTATGATTGAATTATCTACTTACAGCCTGGAGATCGTGGAGGTTAGGGTCCTAAGGAAAATGAAACTGGTTTAGACTGAATGTAGAAGTTGACTGAGCAGAGAAGGGAGAGGGGAAAGATAAAGGATTGCAGGCAGAGTGAACACCAGGTACAAAGGCTAGGAGATAACAGAAGCAAACCCTTGCTGAGTTCTGAGTGTATGCTGGAAACCATTCTAAGAACTTGACAAGTACTACTGCATTTGCTTCTAACAACAACCCTTTGAAATATGTACTATGATAAACCCCATTTTATCTTTAGATGAAGATGTGGAGAAGTTAAGTAAATATATTGAACAAAATCACAGTTCACATACTAAATGATGAAGCCAAGACTCAAATTAGGAAGTTTGAGTCCAGAGCCTCTGCCCTGCACCACTTTGCTACCAGTTACTTGAGGACAATGTAAGCTGTCTTTTGTAAAGGAGTATAAAATGCATAAGAAAGCATCATAGGAAAAGAGAAGAGGCGGGTGGTTGTGGAAGGACAACATGAATGAAGAGTTTAGACAGTATACCGTCTGGTGGCATTTGGACTTTATCTTAAAATAACAGGGACCAAAATGATGGATTTTTTTAGTGAAGTGGTCTGATTTATTTATGTATATTACTCTGTTAATATTCAGTAGGATAAATTGTAAGGAAATAACTATTAGAGTTAAAAAGACCAACTGATAAACTGTTGCAGAGATCCAGACAAGAACTACTGAGGACCGAGAAATTAAAGTTTGAAATAAAGTAGAAGCTATGGGGATAAGGAGGAGGAGATGGCTATGAGGGTTATTTCAGAAGTGGAATTGACAGTATGTTGAAATGTATATTGCAGGGAGTCAGAAATCAAAGAGCAATCTAGCATGACTCCCAGGTTTCTTATTTTGGAGATAGGGAATAGAGAAGCCAAACTTGAGTGCGAAGATAATTAGGATGAGTATGAATGTGAGGGAACATAAAGGAAACTGTTCAGTCCACAGCTCTAACACAGACTCTCCAGTACCATAACATGAGTGAGGGGGAATCAATGAACCCCAGCCCCAAGGGAAGATCAGAATAAGGAATAAGAGAAGAGTATAAAACATAAGGGATTGACAAGTCCAGTCTGGGGAGATGAAATCAGTATGCCTGAAATAAGGAGTCATAAGACACACAGACAAGAATGCTAATTGGTATGAAGTTTCTTTTGAGGGGAGATGAAAATATTCTCAAATTAGGTTGTGATGATTTGAACAACCTGTGAATATACAAAAAATATGGAACTGGAATTCTACACTTTATTTTTATTTTTTAGATTTTATTTATTTTTGGAGAGAGGGGAAAAGAAAGAAAGGGAGAGAAACATCAATGTGTGGTTGCCTTTTATGTGCCCCTAAGGACCTGGCCCGCAACCCAAGCATGTGCCCTGATTGGGAATCAAACCAGTGACCCTTTGCTTCGCAATCTGGTGCTCAATCTACTGAGCTACACCAGCCTGGGCTAGAATTGTACACTTTAAATGTGTGAATTATATGGTATGTAAATTATATCAATAAAAATATTTTTTAAAAAATAACATACCACATGTTTTAGTGGAATAGGAGAGAAGAGACCAGAATTCTAGTATTTTACTTATTTTGCCAATCACTGTGACCTTGGTCATTTTCCTTTTTTATTCCTTAGTTTCCTCATCTGTTAGATAAAGGAGCTGGGCTGGATGCTCTGTAAGGTCCCTATATTAGTTTTCTGGGGCTGCTGTAATGAATTATCACAACTTGTAGTTTTAAAACAGAAATTTATTCTCTCACTGTTTTGGAGGCCAGAATCCAAAATCAGGCTGTTGTCAGTCAATACCATGCTCCCTCCAGAGGCTCTAGGGGAGAATTCATTACTTGTCTTTTCCAGGTTTTTGTGGCTATCTTTGTTACTTGGCTTGTGGCCACATCTTTTTCTGCTCTGTCTTCACATCTTTTTCTTGTCTGTGTGTCCCTCATCCTCTCACTTATAAGGATACAAGTGATTATATTAAAAACCCACTCAAATAATCTAGGATAAGCTCCTCCTCTTCAGACCCTTAATTTAATTACATCTTTTGCTGTATAAGGCAACATTCCCATGTTACCTTGATATCGATATCTTGGGCAGGATGGGGGTGGGGTGGGGTAATTTATTTACAAATCTTTGCAAGTTTATAGGCGACTTGGAAGAAAAAATTGAGTGCCTTATATTCTCCAGACACTCCCTCTTAATTTTCCTTCCCTTTCATCCTAGTTCTTATTCAAAGTAACAACATTTGTATGTTTATCAGCTAATTTTAGTCCCATAAAAAACTAAATTTTTTATTATTACTGTAATTCCAATTTTTGATGAATAAATGGAAGGTCAGAGATTAAATGACCTAATGAATCACGAGTGCTGGAAAGTTTGACTGCTGTACTCCAATCTAAGTCCTTGCACTCCAAATCCCATGGTTTCCAATCTGCCATCACTTGCATGAATCTTGATATAGTGCATAGAAATTCCAGACAAGAATGAACTAGACATACTTGGACTAAATTCAGTTCTCATTCTTCCTGCTAAGCACAAATAAAAATCCTGGTCATTTTGTATAAAACCAGCATAAGAAGACTCTGGAAGGTGGAAAGAAGACAAACTAGGGAACTTGAAACCCAAGGATTGACATGACAGTGAATTCCCTGGGTTTTCTTTTTGCCTCATATAACTATGACTGGGTGCTAGAGAAGCAATCTGGAAATGCCAATAGGCATAAACAAAATGAAGTCCAAAAAAAAAAAAAAAAGCCTGCTTACTTTCTCTATTCCAAGGACAAGGAAAAAGTCAATTCAGCAAGACAGAAAAATTTTTGGACAACTGACCTACTCTAGCCAAATACCATAGAAAAAATCATGCCCACCCACCCCTATAAAGTAAAGATCAGTGGAGACCCTAGGCTTCCACCCTTGTCCAGCTGTAACAAGCTGCCCTTCACCCCTGTAGTATTAGAGAAGACAGAGGGAAATTAGGACTTCCATCTCTGTCTAGTAGTAATGAGCTCCCCATCAAGAGGTAAAAAGGCACTCTTCCCCTTCCCTGCCAGAGTGTCAGGGAAGGCCACTTGAGGAGTCTGAAATCCTCATTATGGGTTGACAAAGGAGACTGAGTGGAGAACTTGGACCTCTGCCTGCCATTTGTGAGATAACCCACATCAGCTCCTCTGTGCCCCCCTCCTCTGCTACAACTGGCATGATGTCAGAAGAATCCTGCTAAAACAGAAGATTTAAATAAGATCTAGAATCTCATAAAATCCAAATTGTTCAGCACTCAATCAAAATCACACATCATACCAAGAACAAGGAAAATCTCAAATAAAGAAAAGACAGCAGATACCAAAACAAAGATGATGCACATATTTGGATTATTTTACAATTATTTTAAAGAATCATTAAAACATTTCCATTAGTAATTATGAATATACTTGAAACAAGTAAATAAGTAGAAAATGTTAGTGAAGAAATTGAAGATATGAAGAACCAAATGGACATTTTAGAACTGAAAAATATAATTACCAACATGTTTTAGAAACTCAATAAATGGGCTCAACATCAGGATGGAAGTGACAAGAACAATCAGTGAACTTGAAGACAGAACAATATAAATGACCCAAGCTGAACAACACTTAACTGGGTAAATAAAATTGTCTTTCCTTTTCATCTTGTGTTTTCTAAGTTGATAGTTGAAACAAAAACAATAACATTGTCTGAATGTAAATTTTAATGTATATAGAGGAAATATTTAATAAAATTATGTTATAAATGGAGGGTAGTAGGACTTCAAGGGAAATAAGTTTTGTACATTTGTCCCAACTGGTACAATGTGGATGCCAATAGATCATGTTGATGGAATCATTGTGAATCTTGAATTCAGAGGTGGTTATAAGAGCCTACATGTACAGTAAAATACAGTAGAACTATATGCACACATATATTCCAGTGTTCATCTACTGGGTGAAAGATACATGGGACCTCTGTATTATCTTTGCAACTTCCTATATATCTAAAAGTATTTGAATTTAGAATAATTCAGCAATGCTGAATTTCCTTGTGTACGTATAGCCTAGTATAGTGGAATCAGAAAAAATAAAAATAAAAAAATTAGCCCTGCCCAAATAAAAAAGATTAAAATTATTTCAAAATGAAAAGTAAAAAACAAAGTATTGAGGGGGCATCTTCACAGGATAGTAGTTTCTGGACTAGAATCTTTAATGCAGACCTAGTCTCAGCCTCAAGTTTCATCACAAAACCTCAGAAGCCCCACCCACCTACCAGCAGTTTTTCCAATTGAACTATTATCTCAGTACTGTGTTTGCATTGGAAACAGTTCATCCTTGCTGAGAAAACTTCTTTGGTCTGCTCACTTACATCCAATAGAAAGTGGCCCCATGTAAGCAACAGGTGTGTGGCCATATCTCCATACCCATTCCTGTGATATAATAAAGAGTAAATCCAATTCTCTTGGTGTTTTCTTGGTTATGTGGGCAGTCTGTTTAATCCACATAATCTAGCTTTTTTGAGAAAGCTATGTCTTCCCCACAAGTTCCAGCTTTTTGGGGGGACAAGGGTACACTCACCGCAGCCATATCTGATTCTGCTTACCTAGTAAAAGTTCTTTTTTTCTTTGCACTCCTGGTGACTCTGGTCATTCCACTCATCCTGGTCTGTAAAGTAACCATAGACAAGGGCAACAAGAACAGAGAGCTAGACCCAAGAAAAGAGCCAACACTGCTGGCATAAAGGTGTACAGTTTTGGGGAAGACAATGTTGATGTGAGGATCTGGAGACCCAAGAGGCAGAACCTTCTTGGCACCATCTTAGAGCCTAAAGCCCAGATGGGAGATCTGGTTTAGTTATGAAACTCCCCAGGCTTCGTTTTCCCTCTCAACCAGTTCTTCCATTAAAATTCACACTCATCCTGCTGTTCTTTGGCTTGTCCAGGATCCTTGAGTTTGAATGTCTTTTCTCTGTTCATTTTATAGAATAAAGTTAGAAATTACTCTTGATTTCTGAATTAACAGATGAAAGGAACAAACACATAGAGAATTAAAATTGACTACAATGCTCAAATTTTTCTTTTTAAAGTGGACATGTGTTGACTCTGGTATATTGAAATTATTGGGAGCTCATGACACCTCAAAATATTAAAAAGCTATACTAAAAGCTCAGTTCCAGGGTAATCTTGAAATGGAACAGCTCATGTACCCTGAATTCTAACTTTAAAAAGAATCCCTTCTGCTCACCTAGTTCTGGAAATAAAGAGTATTACCTCTCAAAAAAATGGTTTAAAGCATCAACTTTGTGGGTTGGTAAATTTTTAAATATTTTCTAAAATGATTTTTTTATCTTTACTGAGTTGGTAACAAGTTAACTCCCTTTTTTAAATGTAATCCAAATTAAAGAGACAAAGATTTGAAAATCCATACTCTTATCCAACTAGGCTTGCTTTACCCTAAGGAGCATTTGACCATTTGTCTGGAAGGAGATATTATTTTTTCTAGGAGAAAAATTTTATGTTCAACCCTATTATTAACTTCTCCTCCTAGAAACATCCTATCAGGTGTTTCTTTGTCTTCCTCTCACAAGCACTTGACTCTACGTCTCAAGCCAAGAGCCCCTCTCCCCCATCCCAGTATCTGGGCTGTGTACTTTACATTTCAACCCATGGGTCTTATTCACTTCCACTTTAACCCACAGAAATTTCCACCTTTGTTACTTGATGCTGAGGAGAGGACAGTGTTGCTACCAAACTCAAAGAAAGCCCATCTCCCCTTCACTTATGTCTGCCTCAAATGCCTGGTTGTGATGGTGTTAGTGTTTATGGTTGATCAGCTTCCACAGAAACAGATCTCAGGTAGATGGCAATGGGACTGAAAGCCTCATGGCCAAGGACAACATATCCCTCTCCTCTGGCAGTGTATGTCCCTTTATCTAAGGCTGACCAGCCAGCATTTCCCTTGAGCTGGCCATCACACCCCTTCTCAGTCTGGTATGCCTGCTTGAAAAGTAGGGAATGGGGAGGGTGAAGTGGGGAACAATGGTGTATTGGCATGAGTGAGTATGGTTTCAAAGCATCTTTGCTGAGTTCCACAGAAGACCTGTGCATGCTTCAGGGTTGGCAGAAAGATCCTCAGAAAGTTTAACACATTCCAGATCTTTCTCTCCTATCTTGCAAATGTCTCTTCATCCAACATGTTTACTGTGCTCTTGCTATATACTAGGCTCTGTCCTGGGTGCTGGGAATGCAACAGAAAGGGGTGCATCTCTCTCCTAGAGCCTATAATATAGCATAATGAGAGGCAGATGCCAGTTGAACATCACATAGATGCATACAGAAAAGTGCTCTAAAAATTTTGGCTGTATGATGGTGTATATCAAATGTACCTGAAAAGGGCTTGCCTGAGGAAGTCATGCCTGGGCTGAGAGTTGAGGAACCTAAACAGGTGAAGAGTGGGGACAGAAGGGTAGGCATTCTAGATAGAGATTAGTAATGTGCAAAGGCTTGTAATGGAAGGAGTTTGTAGTATGAATGGGATAGAAAGACAGTGGTTCTGGAACACAGATCATAAACATGAGAATGGAGCAACATGAAGCTAAAGACATTGGTGGGACTGGATCTCACAAGACTCTGGCGGACACTACTAATTGGAGATGGTGATGTAGGTGTGGAGGCAGTCTCCTAGGTGCCTCCTGGTTAAGACATCCCTTTATTTAATAACAAAGTCTTCAGGCCTGAAGATTCCATGCTTCCCAGGGACTCTCAGTCCCTCTCCACCTATTTTCTTCTACCCTCCAGGACCTTCCCACTTCCCAGACTGTTCACACACCCCAAATCTATGTTTAATCCTTATTTGTAACTAACAGAAACAAGACAAACCAACCAGACTACATTGTAAGCTTATGGCCACCTGGTGGTAGCGAAGGGTCAGAAAACCTAGTCTTTATAGTGACTAGGAGGGTGAGAGGAATCCTTCCTTGCTCTTTTACACTCTTAAGAGCTGGCTAGTTCGTCCATAAAGGGTTATAATCATGTCATTTAATATAATGAGAATCTCTTAACCAGAAAATTTCCTGGGCTTGAAATTTTATAATGTTTAAAGCATGGACTATATATTGAGCATCAATTATATGCTGGCTCTTAACATACAGTATCTCTCTTCTAAGTGAGGCTCAAAGGCTCAAATGGAGAGGCTGATTATCTGCCCAAAGTCTCACAGAAGAGCCAGCTTATCTCCCCTTTCCCATGCTACCACCAGAATTTGTTGTGGAATAAGACATCCCCTGCTTTGAGGCAACTCTTTATTCCCTAACAGAAATCTTTTTGCTCTAAATGTCACTCATATGAGTTTGGGTTCTCTCATGACTGGAGTGCCCTGAGTCTTCCTCTTTTGCCTCCTTCTCTGGCTTCTGGCACCTTCAGAGAGATCTGTCTGCAGCTCCAAGTCCTGCATCTGTATGGATCAAGCCAACAAGTACCAACCACCATAACTGATCCTGTGGGTAACAGTAACCAGAGGAAGAAGGCAATGAAAAAGAATAAGATACTGCACCCTCCTTCAGGAGCCTCTGTTCCAGATGTGGCTGAGGGGCCAATAACAATGCCAGGTGGTTTTTGAAAAAAGCCAAGAATGAAGTACATTTTGAAGTCTGACAGGCCCCTCTAGGTTAACATTAATCAGGGATTGCTTTCTGAAGTGGGTGAAATGTTAGAAACAGACAGCCTAGCCCTGGCCTGTGTGGCTCAGTTGGTTTGGAATTGTCCCATAAATAAAAAGGTCATGGGTTTGATTCTTGGTCAGAACACATGGCTAGGTTGTGGGTTTGATTCCCAGTGGGGGTGCATGCAAGAGGCAACCAATTGATATTTCTCTCATATCAATGATTCTCTTTCTCCCACCCTTCTCTCTCTAGAGTCAATTTGTAAAGAAAAGAAACAGCCTAGATTTAGGACAGGAATGGAGCAAATGTCAGACATGACAAGGGATATACTCTCAAAGGAGTGAAGGGACTTGCTCAAGATCTCAGAGTGAGTCCATACCGCCAGATTCTGAGTCTTAGCCTTGCATTGTTTCAACTGTGTGACTACAGAAGACTAGAACAGTGAAAGAGTTCCCTTCCCCTCAACACCCAGGGACCTATGTAGGCAGTTCCACTGCCAAAGGCTTTGCATGGCCCAGTTTATCTAGCATGCTAAAGGAAAGCCAAGAGGGCTTCTGGATCCCACTACCTCATACACAATACCAGCTTTTTCTAGTCCCAGCTGAATGATGAACCAGCCTTCCTCTTCAGCCTAAAGGGGCCGCCACCATTTTTCTGAGCCTGGCTCCCTCCTACCACCCAGACAAACTCTCCCAAGCAGTTTGTTTCCTTACAGCTATGTGCATCATACAGCCACCATGGTGGCTAGGAGCACAGCCACAACACAGCTAGAATTGGAGGAGCAGAGCTCAACAAAGGGATGCTGTGTTCACATCAACAGCTGAAGGGAAATGAAAAAAGTGGAGACAGTGAGATGGAAACCACACAGGAACAGAATCAAGGGCCCTGAGAGTTTGAATTTACTTCTGCTTATTCCTTAGGGCTCTTAGGAATAAGCAGGTCACTCAACTGCTGTGTCTTCATTGCCTCATTTGTAAAAAAATTCCTTCGAATGTATTTCAGCAACTCTTCCTTTGCAGATCCAAGCATAAGGAAGATCCATGTACTCTCAAACCTACTCGGTTTGAAGGAAGGCTTTATCCCATTGCCCCCAAAGTTTACCTCTAAATTGCACTTTTTAATTCAAGCTCATATATTGTAGCCAACTGCTTCTACTCTGAGCTTGGAATACATGGATAGATTTTGGGGGTTCTGAGAACTTATATGGGAAAGAGGTTACATTTTCACTAAACTCCTAAGTGAATTAGTATTTCTCTACTACAAGCCCCAGTAGCAATACCCAAGCTTCTCTCACTAATAGACATCAAGATTCTTTCATAACCTATCAGTTGCTATAGGTTTATGGAAATATTTACACTCAGAAATTATGGTAATTATTACATCTGCTGCTAGACCTAGTTATTAAATGCATTGTTAAAGAAGGTGGTAGATTACTGTGTCACAGATTTGTGTTCTTTTTAATTTTTTCAAAAACTATTTCATTAAAATTGGCTTCCTTCGTATCCTATATATTTCAGTTTGTACATTTGGGAACATTGTGATAAGGATTCCCACAGGCTTCACCAGACTGCCAAAGAGGTTCTGGGCACAGAAAAAATGGGGATCCCTGACACAAAATGCTTATCTGAGTTCTCCAATCATGCTCCAGCACTAACCCCCCATAAACAGAGGGACAATGAAGAAAGGGCTGAAGGATGGAGCACCTCATTTCTTGAGTCCCTATCAGTACCAAGACCTGCCAATCACCTTCAGTTCTCACAGAGATTTAGAGATGACCATATTATGCATAATTTAAAGAGGAAGAAACAAAATCTCACACACTGAGTGAGCAAAACCACCCCCACCCATGGTCTAGGACTAGACCTCACATTTACTCCCTGGAAACCCACACTGAAATGGCGAATAGCTAGGCCTTAACCAGCTGTGTGAGAAGGGGCAAGTCAGCTTCTTTCTTTGAATACTCATCTCTACAGTGAGAATAAAAACACCAGTTTCCTGGGATTTTGTTGTAGAGATCAATGAAAAAAGTGTTTGAACCCTGACCAGTGTAATTTAGTTGGTTGGGTATTGTCTCACAAAGC